TGGTTTACTCTGTTTGTCAATCTCCTATCTTTAGTAGTCTCTACTTTGTCAAATCTGAAGTGCACTGTAGGTGGAGGTGGTCCTTTTTGCAGTTTTGAGATGTACTTAAGGGGAGAGCTGTGATTCAAAATCTGTCTGCAGGTCCTGGTATTCGCTGACAGGCGTGTGGATAATGTGGAACCCACTTCCCACTGCCCTGGAATCTGTCCGTGCAGTGGGGCTGTATGTTTACTCCCTGAAATAAAATGTGGTTAGCAGAGGGGAGAGAATGGAGCAGATAGTGGGTTGAAGAGGGGAGTGGAGAGATAGAGGAGTAAGGGGGGAAACAAACGAGTGTACCAACAAATAGAGAGAGAGGCCTATACTGAAACAGATAGAAACAATAGACCACAGCTACAGTTGAACCAACTCTCATAGAAACAAAAATAAAACATATAGTGATGCTAACATACCAGCTATCCAACCACCTTATTAGTGTGCTGTTCCTCTATACAAAGACATGGTTTACAGACAGAAGAAAAGGAAACGGAAAAGAGAAAAAAGGGAACAATACAGTAGGAATAGAATTAAGTCATTAAACTAATAGAATCAATGAAGGACACTCTGAGACATTTCGTTTAAGTCCAATGTCCTTTCAGGTCTGATTTCTAGTTTTCTTTTCAAGCTGGTAAATTAGTTTGCAGTTAGGGTCAGTTCCCCTGATCTGCTGTGAAGGACAGTTCAGATTAACCTCGGTTCAGAAGTTTGGTCTATGTCTTTATCAAGCTTGTTTCTCCCATTTCGGTGTTGTTACCTTGAATCGCCAGCAGGTGGTGCTATCTCATCTGCTCGCCCCAGAGGGGGTGGGACCGGACAGGAACAAGATGGCTGCCTGCCTCCGAGCAGGCAACAGGATCCCCAGGCCGGGCGGGCAGGACAGTCTCGGACGCAGAAGCGGTGGCAGCAATCCCAGCAGATCTTCCCTGAAGCGGTTTGGTGTGGATCTCCTCGGGCCGGGTTGTGATGAGCTACCCGTCTCAGAGGCCGCGGTGGCGGCGGCGGCGACGGGAGCGCTGGTGGGGGGAGGGGCTGCAGCAGCGGCGGGACAGTGCAATGCAGTAAAACTGTCCAGTCATTGCGATGTTCCAGTGGTGGCGATGGCCGAGCTCTGTCTGAAGAGCAAGCTGCAATGCTGGGGTCCCCAGCCCCCCGGGGTGAGAGTCAGAGACCCACTGCAGATCTCCCTTGCAGAGGGCTTCAGACGCCGGGTTGCCCGGTCGCCATCTTGCCGCCTCAGTCAATTTTTATACTTTTAATACCCACATTTGCATTTATTTAATCATAAATGTAGAATTGTTTTAAATATTGGAAACCTAAAATACTGACGAATCAACATTTCTCTGCAGGGATTATAAGTGGATATATATGAGGGATCTTAGGTAGTTGAGTGTTGAGACTTAATTAGAATTTTTAATTTATTTCCTGAAAAGTCAAATGTATATTAATTTTATTTTTACTATGCCTACCTCACTGTTCTAGAACATGTTTGAGACATAAATATGATATAAAGCCTGTCCTTACAAGAAAACAACATAGTCAAAGAGCAAAGTGGTAGGGCAGAACACAAAAATCCAGGTGTGTGTGTGTGTGTGTGTGTGTGTGTGTGTGTGTGTGTGTTTTCTCTCAGAGAAGAAAATATTATATGATTATCTGATTGAAAGCAAAATAACCCATGCCATGAAAGAGATAGTATTTGAAGTACTTTTTGAAGGATGATCAATCTATGACTAACCTGTGATGTTTGGAATGAACATAATAGTGATAGCATTTTTTAATGGCAAAAACGTATAGTTTTAAGAATAAGTAAGCTTAACTCTTTTTTGTAAAATGATATTTTAAATTATGATCAAGAAAAATAATCATATAGCCCTGGAGAGTTTACTGAAATATATGTCTCATGCACCATTATGGCCCCAAAGCACCAACAACACGCTGGCTAGGTGAGAGCTTTTCGCTGGATTTCCTGGGTATGAAGGATAAGCTTCATTTGATTATTAGGTTTGTGGTTAGTTGAATAGGTAATGCTAGTGATAGTTTCTGAAATTGGAACTCAGTCTACAAAGCAAGTTTAGTGAGAAAAAATGCGTTTGGTTTTTTGATATGAGTTAAATGATTCCTTTGCTGTACCGTTGGGAAATAAATGTGGGCAAGTCTTATGGACAGTTGCAAATGTCTGACTCTCAAGTTCAGGGTTGATGAAGTCCTCTCTTTCCCCCTTTCTCTTACTTCCCCTCTCCTTGATTATAATATAGTTTCATGGGCATATGCCTCTGTTCAAACTCATGTATGTATATATGTATGCATATATATATGTATGTATATGTATATCTGTTTGTATATATACTCAATGTTTATACATACACACACACTCACACACACATAGTTTTTTGTATACCAATTATACTTCAGTAAAGCTGTTTTTTTTTTTTTTAAAGCAACAGAGTGGGAAAAAGCACTAAGATTATTATTTGAAACTTGGTGAACACAATGTTTCTAATAGTTAAGTGCTTATGGAAAAACTCCTTGAAAATTGAGGAGTGATTAGAGATGCAGGAAGGAAACCAGGACAGAGTATTTTTTGGGAAGTAAAAGGTGTAGAAATTTTCTAAAGGAATGCATGAGCAATGTTAAGGGCTATAACAGAGAGGAGCAAAATTAAGATTAAACACTAGTCATTTGGTTTTTGAATATAGACATCATTAATGACTTTGAATGATTGATTTCAATTAAGCAATGGGGCAGAAACTAGATTTCAGTAAGTAAATAGTAAATGTAAAATAAGTTTTCAAGTAGTTGTCTGATGCTAGTGGGTGTGGGCTTTCTTTTGGGAATGATAAAATTGTTCTAAATTTAGGTTGTGGTGAGGGTTACACAACATTGTGAATATGCTAAAAACATTGACTTATAAACTTTAAGTGAGTAAAATTTCTGGTATGTGAGTTACTTCAGTAAAGATGTTAAAAAGTAAGTTTAAGAGTAAATAATAAAAGAAAAATGATCAAGATTGTGATTTATTCTTCTTTTAAGTATTAGGCCAAAAAGAGGGAAAGGTAGAAGTTACAATGGAGACAGAGGAGATACTAGAGAAAACATGACCCATGAGCAGACAAGAGGTTGTAAAATCAAGTACACAAGTAGAGAGGAGAGGCATCACTTCTTAGACTAAAGAGAAGCAGGCATAGATGTGGGCACAGACAAACATATTTTTGGATGTAAGAGTATAAAAAAGTTGCTTAAGTCTAATCATCCCAACATTCTTGAAGTAGAAGTTGCTGTTTTGAAAAAAAGAAGAAAAAGAATGGATCAGGGAAGAATAGCAAAAACTTGAATATCCGTTGAGAAGAATGAGGCATGACCAAGTGTATGACGAGAGCTGAAGGACACCTTGTGTGGGAAATGAAACTGATCCTGGTACCTCCATGGCACACAGACGTAGGGTGGTGTATAGAGTTAGTGCATAAAATGTGCCTGTGCAGTAATACTTTTCCACCTTATGATTATCAATGAATTGTTAGAAGTATGTTTACACAAAATTATGCTGCCTATACCCAAGGCTGCTTTTTACTTTGAGTACAGAGTTGGACCAGGTTCAAAATCACAAAGAGAGGCCGCTGTGTTGGTTGAATGATACACAAACTTGAAAAAGATAACTGATTCCATTCAATGACAATAGAATAACAGAAAAAAAATCTAGTAAACAAAGAATCTTTGGGTTATTTACAGCAGTTTAATATATCCACTTACATATACTTGTCTAAGGAGTTCTTTGTACCCTTTCTGTCAAGCAGTTTTCATACCCTAGGGAAATAACATGAGATTTAAGCAGATGTCAGTGTAGAATAGCCTTTACCTAGCTGAGGCATGGACTGACTGCAGTAGCAGAGGCATAACTCTTCAATTCCTAGCCCTCTAAAACATGTGTGCTTTATAAACCACTGGAGGTTTTAAGTATTTTTTTCTTATTTCTCTTTCTCACTAGAATGCAAATTCTATGAGGCAAGATAATTATCTGTTTTGTTCACCAATGTGTCTTTAGGGCCTAAACAGGGCATGCCATATGCTGAGTGCTGAATAAAAGTTTGTTGAAATTTTGAGTTCAAACTCAAAATTTTTTGGAAAAAAATAAAGATGAAACAAAATGCTACTATTTATTAGCATTGTTATTGTTGTCTTAGTAACTGTGTAAACAAAGACACCTTAGAAATACACAGGTGTGGTTTTGGAGACAGAACAAAGTAAAGCAGAAAATTATAAAATAAAATGGATGAGGAAGTTCAAGAAAGGTTAAAACACAGTTTGTAACCACTGTATTGTAGTGAGGTTATCAACCTTCAGAGGATCCTAATCTATGTAAACTGTATCATCTCCAGAGACATTGATACCGCAGTTCCATAAGACACTCAGACCACTAGAGCACTTTCTTTCATCACCCGTGTTCTTTTTTTTAAGAAATGGATCCTAGTGGATAGTCAAAAATCCTAGTGGGCATACTTAGGTTCTTGGAAAGAGTAGAGACCTAAAACTCATTTGAGTAATTCGTTTTTCATTTCTTTGTCTTTATGTTTTACCCCTTCATTTTCCATCTAAGTCAATCAATCATAGTTTCTCAGGGCCGAGAGTCCTGCGACTGACCCGTCTCAGTGCAGCCTTTACTTCACTATTCCTTAGGCTGTAGATGATAGGGTTCAACATGGGAGTCACCACTGTGTAGGAGAGTGACAGTATCTTCTTGCTCTCAGGAGAGGTGCTGGATCGGGGCCGGAAGTATGTGAGGATGGCTGTGCTATAGAAGAGGGAAACAACCAGGAGGTGGGAGGAACAGGTGGAGAAGGTCTTGCGTTTCCCCTCAGCTGAAGGCATCCTGAAGATAGTGGAGAGGATGCGGACATAGGATCCCAGGATCAGCAAGAAAGGGAAGAGAATAAATAGGACAGTGGCCATCAGAGACTCCAGTTCAAACAGAGAGGTATCAGCACAGACCAGTGCAATTACAGGAGGGCTGTCACAGAAGAAGTGGTTCACCCTGTTGGGGCCACAAAAAGGGAAACTGAAAATCCATGTGGTTTGCATAGTGGCCACTGGAAACCCTGAGAACCAAGAGGCAGCTGCTAGCTGGGCACAGGACCTGCGGCCCATGATGACTGGGTAGCGCAAGGGGTCACAAATGGCCACATAGCGGTCATATGCCATAGTGGCCAGGAGGCAACATTCTGCAGCCCCAAAGAAAAAGAAGAAATACATCTGAGTAGCACAGCCAAGGAAGGAGATGGTTGTGTCTTGAATTATCAGGGTCCCCAGCATCTTGGGGACAATGACTAAGTTAAAACCTATCTCCAGGAAGGACAAATTTCTGAGGAAGAAGTACATGGGACTTTGTAGTGCAGAGTCAACTGTTGTGACCAGGATGATAAGGACATTGCCCATTAAAGTAAGCAGGTGAATGGTCAAGAAAAGGAGAAAAAGTAGAGCCTGTAGCTCTATGGACAGGGCTGAGAAACTCACAAGAACAAATTCATTGACAATTGTCCAGTTCTTCCAGGTCATTCTTCTGCCCAGGATTTCACTAGGCATTTAAAGGCTAGGAAGGTAGGAGAACTCACACATGTTATTTATATCCTTAGAAAGGAAACTTCCAGTGACTTTATTCTTCTCCTTTCTTGTTATAGTTGTTCAGGATCAAACATCTATACTCTCCAAACATTTGACCATTGGATTCATAATTTTTTGGAAGAATTATTATTTTTTTAGACTGAACTGAAACATATCATGTGTATCTGTATATGTTTCTGACTTTTCTTTTCTTTGTAGAGGAGGTCAACATCACAGCTTCACGTTCATGTTTCTACCCTATCTCTCTCCAACAGTCAGTGGTGCTAAGAAAGCCAGGTCAAGCATTTAGGAAGAGAGGGCACCTGCTACATAACAAAAGGTGGCAAGATCAGGCAGGATGTATTTGCTGCAGAACAAAAGTGTGGGAAGATACAATCAAGGAAAGTAAACGAAAAATTACCAAATGATCCCCGGGGACCTAAATATGTCCCAATCTCGAGAAGTCCATATTCAAGAAGATTCCACTATATTGTAGGAATCTCCATTTCTACACTCAGAAAAGTGCAATCTAAATGAGAAAACACTTTACATAGAAACAGTGACTTATCTTGATCCCATGGCTAAATATTATTCATGTAGTTGTATGTATCAAGGTAACATCAGAACTATGGACAGAATCTAGATGTGTTTAGCATAAACTCTTTCATCAGATCTCTTTGTTAACTTATGTTTTGACTCTCAAAAAATTTGAAGTTCACATTTTGCATATAAATAAAATACAACTCAAATATGCAAATATGACTAGTAAGATGAAATCCTATGAAAAAGGGACAAGATTTCATAATTAATATCAATAACTAAGCTTCAAAATCAGTATCCTAAAATTATTTCTTTTGACTGTAAACTTAAATATAGAAATAAATATAAAGCACTTAGCATATTGCTATGCACATTATAAATGCTCAATAAGTGTTAATCATGATAATTATCATGTTATAATGTTAGATCTGCCTTCTAAATTCTTCTTATCCAACTCATTGGCTAAACTCAACTGTAGCCATTACTATTTAATCCCTAAGATAAAATAATAATTTGTTCAAATTATCTCATATAATTTGAATATTTGTTCAAATTATCTCATAATTTGAATAATAATTTATTTAAAAATATTTAAATATTGATTATCAGAAGATCGTTCTATATGACAGGCACTATTTTAGACACTAAAGAGAATACAACAAAATAAGATCTCTGCCCTCATAACAGTCACCTCATAGGGAAGACATTATGAGTTATGCGAGTAGAAGTATAGTCTGTGAGATGATGATAAGAGTGATGGAGAATAAAGTAGTGGAGAAAGAGATAAGCATTTGGGGTGTGGAAAAAAGTCAGGGAAAGCTTCACTAAGAAGATGATATTTGAGTCAAATCCTGAGCAGGTACAAGAGGTAAAATTAGGGTAGTGAAGAAAGGAGGGAAGTAAAGAGAAATGCTATTTTATATTTTTGCTGAGTTACATTCATTTAAAAAAGACTCAACCAGGGCATCCTGTTTTTTATTAAAAACTTCTTCAATACCTCATATATTTTCACAGTAAGATTGAACATTCAGGAAGCATCAAATAACTGTCACACACTATCCTAAGTCTTTTGCATGTATTATCTTATCTAATTCTCACAACAACCCAAAGAAGACTATTATTTGGCCCATTATACAGCCAAGGAGCTGAAACAGAGAAAAACTGAAAACTCAATAGAGAATTTGGATAATTTTTTTTCCAAGAGTAGGCAGCCAGCAAGCGTTGGCATCAGTTTATGCATCCTGGGTGGTATGAGTTCAAGTCAGGGATTTAATCATTAAGTGACACTTTAACTTACTTTTTCAGAATGGGAATAAATCTAAGTTCACAACTGAGGACAAACCAGAGTGCCTGGCATAGGGTGGTAGCATGAGCAAAACAAGATGATCTCTAATCATGGGCAGAGAATTTCAATGCATAGCAACACTGGAGAATTGGTATACCACTTCCACAGTACTTATTTTAGAATAATCATTAATTTTTGTCTCTGTCTCAAACTTTAGATTTCTGATCCTTGATGCTATTCAAATTTGTATCCCAATGACTAGAAAAGTAGATGCGCAGGAAATTGTTATTGAATGAACTAACAGATAATGAAGACAATGTGGGAAGTAATCAGGGAAACCATCTATACAGACATAAGGTAGGTAGAGTGAGCCCCAGTCACAAAGAATTTAGACACAAACGCAAAAGAATATCCTGCAGCCTCATACAGTTGACACTGATTTAAGCAGTGATAAGAGATATAAATTGCACTCGTCATCTTCTTCCACCTCAGACCTCCTCCTTGTATCTACTCCGTGCTAGTAAATGGCATCACCCAAAAGTACAAGCCAGGAACTGGGATATAGTCCTATAATTCATCCCCCATATTGTTTACTTTTACTCCTAAACTCTGATTCAATGTCATCTTCTTCATCTCTATCACCATTGCCTTTAGGTTCTGGCTTTTATTTTGTAGGAACTCACTTTCAGTTTGTTCTTTCCAAAGCATCCTCAGCTTGTATGTGATCTGACAGCAAGTCTGATTAAGTCACTTACCTACTTACTTACAATCACTCCCTACTGCCCCTAGGATAAAGTACAAACCCATTAAGAAGGACTTTTTCTCTGATCTCTGTTTATTTTTTTCCATCTTCAAATCCCCCATGTAGCTGAAGCTATAGCCACACAAACATACTTTATTTTCCTTCCACATGTCTTCTCATCACTCCTTGTACTTGTGCCTGTGACTCTCTTCTGTTGGAATCCTCTCCTTAAAACTATATGTAATATCCTTGTTCTTTTTAGGTTTTAGGTTATTCTTACTTTTTTTACTTCAAATTTTTTACCCATGCTCTATGTTGTTTTTTAAACTGGTATATAATACTTGTATATATTTCAGGGATCCATGCAGTATTTTGATACATGTATACAATGTGTAATAGTCAAATCAGGGTAATTGGGATATCCATCACCTCAAACATTTATCTTTTCTTTGTGTTTGGGAGATCATTATGTTAAGTGAAATAAGCAAGGCACAAATATCACATGTTCTCACTCGTGTGGGAGCCAAAAAAAAGTATAACTTTCTGTTCATTTTGCAAATTCTCTGCTGAAACATCACTTTGTGATGTTTTCCTGTCCTCCTTTTGCAGAATCAAGACATGTTTTCTTTTACTTTCATAACACTTTGTGAAAATCTCTTTTAGAGCACTTTTATAATTGTGTACTTGTACATCTATTTATATTATCTTAATTGTTAACACCATGAGGACAAACCTATTAATTCAGCCTAGTATCTTTTGCATCTAGCAGAGTGCTTAATTCCAAGTGTTTAGTACTTATTGTAGCCTAAGTTGTAACTATTTTTACAGTAGTTTGATGACACAATTGGATCTCTAGCTGAGCCCACAGTCAAGGCAGACCTCTGAGTTTTTCTTTTTTTAAGGTAGTATATTATAGTTTGTCTTCCAAGGTATATTTATTTTATTTTATTTTGTGCTATGTTCTGAGGAATTTTTAAAGTTTATTATAACAGCTTTGTATCACTCAATGTGCCATGGGTGTCCACTTCCCTCATATGTTTAATCAAAATATTTCCTGGGGACAGAGCCAATACCCTGAGGCACAGCATGTAAGCCATATCTTAAAATGGATTGACACCAATTTTTAAACCTTATACTTTGAGGCAAAGTCATCTATTTTTTCTATCAGTGACCTTATATCACTCCAGACACTGGCTGGATATAAAAAAACATTGTTATAGGTACTGTAATCTGGAACATATCTCTTTAATGTGTCAAAAAAGATCTCATGAAATAATTCATCAAATGTCTTAGTGAAGCGCAGATAAATCATATTGACACACATTCTTTAATCTGAGATCTAAAGTCAATTTCCTTGTAAAAGGTTTTTTTGACCATCCTCATCCCCCAACTGGGTATAATTGATTATTCTCATCATAGCATTTTAAAATGCCCTTATTATAATAATGGTTTTATATCTTAGTTATATTTATATATACATACATGTCCTCTCCAGCAAATTGTGTACTCCTTGGAGACACAAACAAAATCATATGCATTGTTATATTCATATTCATTACCTTGGACCACTAAGTAACAATAAATGTTTGTTGAATCACTAATTAACATTTGTTTTAATGACATTAATTAATTGGCCTAGCATACTAATATTTATTTTCAAAAAGCTAATGAGATGCTTTCTCATAAAATTCATTGTGAATCCATTATGTTTAAAGTAATTATCATGTTTTTAAAGTTTCTGAAGAAAATTTTTTAACAATGTTTTAAATTATTGTCTGGTAGGAAAGATGGAAATAAATATATAATTTTAAAATTATACAAGTTTGAATTCTTATTGTCATAATCATTATCATTAATATTACTGTAGTTTCAAAAAGACTCTAAGTCTAATCTTTTGATAAGGCAGTGTTAGATATAAAACAATCCGGTGAAGTGTAGCTGAAACCCATGACAGTTGGAACCAGAGAAAAACTGCTACCCAGCACAGATTGAGCATTATGTGAGGACACACAACCAGATGATGCCAGACACTGACCAACACAGGACAAAAGGCTAGGAAGAAAAAAGTTTTCAGGCCCGAAATTCAGAAGTTATCAAAGAATATTGCTGCATGTTCAGTTTATGAAGCTAAGGGAACTTGCATATACCTAATAGAGTTTTTTGAATTTTAAAGCAGATATGGCTCCCCCCCTTTATTTTCAAGTTGAATTTTACAGGGAAGCACAGTGCTTTTGTTCAAAAGCAGGGGAAGGGCCTTAGAGCTCCACCTGTTTGATTTTCCCTTTTTTCTGTCCCCCTGATTTAGGACTTTGCATCTGCCTCCTTCTCATAGTTTTATTTATTTATTTATTTATTTATTTATTTATTTATTTATTTATTTATTTATTTTTTGAGTCAGAGTCT